CCTAGTAAAACTCGTTCTCTCCAGCAACTTTCTCTTCCGCATATGCATATACCTCGTTAAGGCCAGTTTACTTGCCCTGCTCTGGAGATTATTCCGCAGTTTGCCAAAGTTCCGCCGCGCATGGCTGGGGATCATCGTTGTCACGGTTATTGGATTTGCCCTCTCGATGATTCTCCCTCCGGTTGCGTGTTCGGATTTTACTGCCCGTGAGTTCACATGTATAGCAGCGATATGAGTGCTCCCACTAACTTGCATCCTAGTTGGTTGTATCTCCCCAAGGCAGATAAGGTTGGCTGCCATCGATATCTACGTCAGCACAGTTTTTGATGTGCTAACAGACGTTCTGAGTAAGTGACAGCATGCACATGTCATATGTGGACGGGTTTATACGAGTTTCCGCTAACTAAGAATGGTAACAGTTGTGTCTCTCCCTGTTGCCTTTGTCCTCAAATCATCTCTCCCCATGCCCCAGAAGACGGGATTGATCGTCCTCTTTCTCCTCGGGCTCGCAGTCGTCATCATATCCATCCTCCGCACCATTGAAACAGATGGCAAAACTAAACTATCACCTCCGTCATGGCTCCTCTTCTGGAGCTCAATGGAAGCCACCATCGCAGTGATGGTATCCTGCTTTGCTTCCTACAAGTCCCTTTTCTCTGCTCGATCACGGCCCTCGACGTACAATCCACACGGTCACACTGCATCTGTCGTCGCCCCTACTCCGGCAGAAGTCCGAAAGACCAGGATTCTGAATGAAAGTGACTCGCGAGAAGAAATTATCCATCGCACCGAATTCGAGGTCAGCTACGAAATGGCACCCGCAGGCTCCAGCAACCGTGCTAATCCCTACTCCATCCCCTCAAACAAGTCGTTGCAAGCCCTGCCATCGTCGTTAGCATGATTCGGAAGAAAGGAAACATCAATTCTCTCCGTCTTGGGTGTGTTTCCAAGACACTTTTGTGCATATGGCTTTCCACGTGGCGAGCGATGGGTACGGTGTGGGGTTGGTGCCCATAGACAGTTCCGCCATGGACAGTCCGGAGCCTGTTGTCGATCGGTTTTCCATAGGGGTTCAATGGAACGGAGCATCTACATAGAAGAGTCTGTGCAAACACTGGTGGGAGACAGGGAGGAGTGAGGTTCAAAAATTCACTTACGGTTTTCAATGTCCATTAACGAGTTTCCTTTTAATCACTACTATAGTAGTTTACTAATTATACCATACTGCCAGACTTAGATACTGACAGAATTTCTGATTGCCTTAAGCAATCTATAACGACACATGTACAATAGCGATAAAACTAATCATGAAAGATCCATTTTTTGCCCTCCTTTGCCTCTTATCTGCAAGGTCCTCCAGCAATTCGCTCGTAAACTGGGACACGAAGAGGCTAAAAACTTTTTGCCTTGTGTTACGTAAATCTCTGTCTAACTTTGGCCTATTTTTAGTGGACTCAGATTGTGTTATCGGAGAGACACAAGGAGGTTAGGCAGAGTGGGAGAAGGAGAAGGAGAAGATGAAGAAGAAACAAAATTCATTACCATCCACAGGAACAAGTAGAGCGGAAACAGAGGAGCTGAGTAAACGGGCAGGTATAAAAGGCTCCATGGCTAGGAAGAATAGAATATCTACCTTTTTTCATTAACATCAACATGAACAAAACAGATTATCATGAACGATTAAACGGAGTTAGCCTTTATGCCCTTTAGAGAACCCAAACTAAGCGCCAACCCTTGAGATCGACTTCTTATCCGCATGAAGCCTGTGATCGGGCCATCGTCACCTTCTTTCTCAATGCTCAAGTTTGCAAGAGCGTCCTCGCCTACGGAAGAAAGTTAGCTCAATCTTTGGTTCTTGAGGGGCCGACGGAGTGGATGCATAGAAGTAGCGTGGCGTGGGATACATGGAATGATGCAAAGTGGCGTGGGATGGGAAAGTATGGGGAAGAAACTTACCGAAGACGCTCCTTGCATAGAGATTCGCGCTTAGGAACTGGCAGTCTCCTTCCAGGGAAGCTTCAGGGGTAAGACAACTCATGTTTGTACGGTCCATGAGTTGCTGGAGGAAGGCTCTCAGACTCTTGGCCTTGGAGTGGATGTTAACCTTGTTCTCCCATTCGAATTCGGTCCACATCGTTCTGAACTGTGTTTCAGTACAGTGAGCGGGCTGTATGTAGTCCATGATGTCAGCCTTGATGTCGTTCAGAATGACCACATGGGTCTCGGTGGAATTCGAGCCATCGTATATCACGTTGCCGAATATCACACCAGTGTCAGTTGAGGAGACCTTGATGGTAGCTTGGACATTTAAGAAATCGTGTGGCCCGAGGTTTTGGGTGGTAGGTCGCTCGACGACCTTGAGATCACCGAGTGTAGCGAATTCGACGGAGAGGTTCTGAAGGGTTTCGGTGGTTTGGTTGACTAGAAGCACGTCAAGGACAATGTCGAATTGGTGGACCTTGACATATGCTTCTGCGTAAACGGCATCGGAGTATCCCGTAAGCTGCACCACTCTGCTGAGTTTGGAGGTGAGGTCTTCAAGCGTCGAGTCGCCACCGGTGGCTTTGGCAAGATCCAGCTCGATCTCCTCTGCTCCCTCCTCAGACTTCTTTGCCAGTTGTCGAATTGGTATGGCATCGTCCACTTGAACGGCTGTCTTGGCCTTTTCAACAGCCTCCTTAGCAGCACGTTTCTTCTCATCCACCTGAACCATGGCACGGAAGGCCTGTCTAGTGTCTTCCAAGAAAATAGACTCAAGCTCCTTCCGCTGAGCAGACTCGGCCAATGATCGGACGCATGACATGATTCTGTCAACGGAGTCTTCATCGATAGAGGCCTTGGCGAATTGCGACTGGCCAACGCGGATGATAGAAATCATGATCAGCATGGCTTCGGCGCGCAAGGCGTTAGTCCGGGCAACATCTTGTGAAAGCTCCGAATGGCGCATAACAAGCTTCGTCAGCGTCGATGAAAGGACGGTTGCGAGGTAGTAATCTCCATCTAGGATGAGCTGTCTGAGCGGCGGCTTCTGTGCTGCCTTGACGGCCGCTAGCTTGGCGGCGGCGGCGGATTCACTGGTTAGAGCGGACTCCTGTGCGTATGTACCATCAGCCAGAACCTTGGGCCCCGTTGTCGACTTGGCATGTCCATTTACAGAGTCTTGACCCGCCGCACCGGCGTCGGGGCCTTCGTCAAGTAATCGTTGCTCTGAGGCGAGGATCGGGATTTCTCCCAAGCTGGCTCGTATACGCTTCCAGGCCTCTCTGATATCGTTTGCTTCGAGTGAATATTCACCCACAACCCAAAGGACGCCACGATATACTTTCCCGGCACGAACCTCGTCCAAAGTGGAAACTAGTCGCTCGACAATGGATGGTCTGAGTTTAGGGAACTTCTCAACGACTTCCTTGACAAAGGTTATCACATCGACAGCAGAATTGTTGTTGAAGTCGGCAATGAAGTCCATGAGAAGATCAACGACACTGGCAGCAATCTCGGAGAACTTGATGGCACACTGATGGATGGACTGGATGAGGAGCTGTCGATATTCATTGTTCTGCAGGTAACCGTTAGTTATGCCGGTGATGCCAATAATGATGGAAATCTAGCTGCGTTACCTTCTCATACTGTTCGTCAACGGTTTTGGCAAGCTCTTTCTTAAGCAAGAGAACAATCTCCTCGACATTCCGACTGGAGACCATCTCAAGAGCAATGAACAAGGCCTTGCGTCGAACATCAATGTCCGGGCTGGAGAGGACACGGAGGATCTCCATAGTAGGATCATCGAGAACACCCTCATTGCGCTTCATAAGCTGGTGAACACGCTCTAGCACAATAAGCTTGACGTTGTTGTCTGCCTCTTTGATGCATAGTTCAATCAACTTTGCAGCCGCGGCCTTGACAGCGACAGGATTTGACGTTAGTGCGGTAAGGGAGGTAGCCGCCTCATACACAACCGTGCTAGTGTTTGCGTCCAGAAGATCAAAAATCAACCGAAGATATCGCGCCTGGCCGTATTAATAATGAATTAGCCATATGGAAGTGTCAACTGAAACAATAAAATGCTAAATCCTACCTTGTTCTGGGTATTCTGCACAGCATCCTTCCTTATAAACTCAAGCTCGACCAACTGAAGCAGTTCGTCTGCATTGGCTACACCGTCAAAGGTTGAGCTCAGATATACCAAGGCACTCTCGTGGCTGATGGTGACCAATGCAGCAAAAGCGTTGCGTTTGCAAGTGGGATCTGTCTCCGTCTCTAAGAAGGCCAGCAACAGGTCTGCGGCATCCGGAATGAGGGATTCGGAGTGCTGGAATATGGAGGCAATTGCCCAGACTGCGTTTTTCCGAACATATGCATGTCTATAGCGGAGGCACTGGCGTGCAGACGAGAGCAGCGGTTCTAGTAGTTCTGGCTCTCTGAGCTTGCATAGGAATCGGAGTGTATTTCCTCGAATGTACTCATTGGGGTGTTGCAGATCATTCCGGATTCCGTTACTACAATTATATCACTTTATTAGCCAGATGTCGTCGACTTTCTTCTTCAACGAGGACATAGCCACCTACCAGACCAGAATCATCTCCTGCTTCAGCTTGCCGTTGGCATCGAGTTTAGGGCAGATTTCGTAGTAGAAATAGAGCAATTTCTTGAGAGGCTTCGATTTTGACGGCATGACGAAGCGGATAATGTGCATGAGCAGCTGTGGCATCGGGTCTCCATTCAGCATCATGATGAGGATGATCCTCATGGTCTCCATCTTGGTCTCATCCGTGCCCTTTTCCAGCTGCGTCTTCAGTTCCTGGACGGTAGGCTGGTCCGCCGAGTTGTCCTGGTGCACCAGCGTGTACGAGTGATCCAGATACGAAGCCATTGTGCCGTTCTCTCGTCCCTTTTCCTGCGTCTGGCGGTGGAAGCTCTGGGTAGTGTAGTATGTAGGGGGGTCTGCGGTGGTGTTTTGAGAAGCGGCCCAGGGTGTTCAGGAATCTCAGGGTAGTGTCCGCATGCCTCGCCTTGTAGTCGGCGGAGAGAGAGGCGTCCTGGAGTATGTCGGCACTGTATCAGAGAATCACCGTCGAGATGTCTGCTTCTCTTCGTCTCGCCGTCCTGTCTGCTTGTTGTCCTTCGTCGTCGTCGTCTCCAACTTGTCCACTCTGGCCAGTATTTGCGCGGCCCGCCAAATGTGTGGATGACTAAGCATGGCCTCTAACTTGTGACTTTTTGCGCAGAAGAAGAAGACGACGGCGACGACGGCGACGAAGAAGAAGAAGAAGAAACACATCGAGAAGACGAGAAGGAGACGAGAAGATTCAAGATGCCGGGCGACAACGAGACCTTCTACCTGCGATACTAGTAAGGACTATTCTATCCTTGGGGCCCAGGTTCTCCCTGCCAGCTGCTGACGGCGCCAGCTCGGGACACTCTGGGCGGTTCGGACATGAGTTTCTAGGTGAGCAGCAGACGCAGCCAGCGCGGTTGACAGACGGGAATACAAGCTGATCGACGGTAGAATTCGACTTCAAGTCTCTTGGAGACGGCCGCAGTGCCTCTGCGCGCTATGCGAACAACTCGAACTACCGCAATGACTCCCTCATCCGCAAAGAAAGTACGTCATACAACTACCAGCCATTCCCCTCCCCCTCAAGTAGAAAGCTGGCGGCAGGAGGGCTAAGAAGAGTCTACTACAGTGTGCGTTAGCTCGCTGCTGATACAGGAGATCAAACGGATCATCAAAGAGAGCGAGATTCTCAAGTATGTTGGGCATTGACTGCTTTTGTCTGCTGCAATCGCCCACCTCTGACCCTCTATCTACTATCGAATAGGGAAGACGACTCGAAATGGCCACAGAAAAACAAAGATGGACGACAAGAGCTTGAGATTCGACTTGGGAACGAACACATATCCTTCGAGGTGCGCTCTTCCTCTGCGCATGCATTGAGTCGATGGTCGTCTGTTGGGTGCTAGCGAACTGCAAAACTAACCAGGCATTGGCATGCAGACTGCAAAGATAGGCTCGCTTGTCGATGTCACCGAATCGGCGGATCCTGAGGGCCTGCGAGTCTTCTACTATCTCGTACAGGACCTCAAGGCGCTCGTCTTTTCACTAATATCCCTCCACTTCAAGGTATGGCTGGCTCTTCAAGCACCCCTGTCCCGCCGAAGCTGCCAACCCACGTCACCACCACCATGAGCTGTCACTGACCACGGCCGCCCCTAGATCAAACCCATTTAAAAAGCATTCGCCGGGCGCAGAGAGGACTTACTGCTGTTCTATGTGATGAATATCTATCAGGAGTTAGGCTGGTCTATCTGTCTTTTAGCTGCTAATGAATACTTTCTCGTACTTCTCACGCTGTTTTCTACCCCTGGCCTATAGCCTCCTTTTAATACGCTTCGCTGCCCCTAGTCGTATAGCTTTATATAGGGCCCTTCACTGTAGACCTCGCCATCCTGGCCCTTCCCCGCGATCGCATGACCCCCTTTGCTCGCTCCAGTGGCGCTGCGCTGCTCGACTCGACGGCCCGCTTGGCCCTGCAAGTGCGTTGACTAGCCAAAGGGAAAAAACCTTCCCGCGCCCAAACAACTTGACTTGTCTTCTGCCTCTCCCTCTCTGCCTCGCATTCCTTCAGCGCTGCAACACCGCAACACACGCAACCGGGCTGACCGTCTCTCTTTCTTTCTCTCTAGCTGCTGCGTCTCTGCTACTCAGCTTGCGCTCCTTACCTGCGTCTGCCGGCTCAATCGATCCTATGTCCTACCGTTAAAGCCGTCTCCATGCCAACCCACAGTGACATCAGCGCCCATACGCAAGTCTCAGCTTCTTCTAACGCGCCCACACGACCAACTTGTCCCCCGGAAAACGACAGAATAACCTCCTGGATAGAGTCTGCAGAAGGCAGAATCAACGCTGCGGCTGATAATGGCTCTCTGACGGCGCAGTCTCCTCCAACTACGGCGGGCGAGCGCCCTGACTCTGACTCGGCTATGACCACCGATGAAGCTTTATCTCCGCAGCAGCGTGAGCAAGGACAGCAGTCTCAGGGATCAGAACCTGCAACGGGTGGTGGCAGCACTTCTACTGATGCTGCTACTACGATGCACTCCCCGGGAACAGAAAATATCGGTGCTGCTGGCTCGGGCATAGTTGAGTCGCTGGCCACTGCTGAGGAGGTGCGCTCTCCTGTATCGGACTCGACTGCCATAACCGACGATAACGATGAAACGGACGAGCCGATGACCCCTACGACGAGCGTCTCTGCTGCTACTGAGATCAAGGACGAGCAGCGGGAGCCTGCTGCTACTGCTGCTCCAGCCATCCCCGACATTCTGGCCACTCACCGGACTTCCATGAGCTTTGAGTACTCTGATGCCAGAGTAAGTCACGTTGCCCCCGAGTCTACAAATACTTTAGAAGACCTATGGGAGTACACTAATGTACTGACACACGACTACTTTGCCAGCTCGTGCCAGATCACTCCTCCTCGTACTTTAGAGGGGGGAGCAGGTTTACCGGCACTCAGCAGTCTGAACAGCAGATTTACACCGTCGACGTGGAGATCAAAAACGTCGACATGTCCGAGTCCTATCTCTGCGGATACCTCAAAATCAAAGGTACGGCGCTATTTACCTCTCTAATTGACATCATTACTGTGCACAGGCGCAATATCTTACTGACAGTCTTACAGGCCTGACACCGGACCATCCTACACTAACAACTTTCTTCGAAGGCGAGATAATTGGCACCAAACATACCTTCCAAACTCGTCATGAGGATTGGGGTGCCACTGAAAAGACGGATATGCACCATTGGTCCCGATTCCCAGCCTGGCGTCCCCTTTCTCGATTGGCCAAACAGCCGGACTTCACCTTCAAGGACTATGCCCAGCGGGAGAACATCTTCATGCGGTGGAAGGAAGCCTTCCTTGTGCCCGACCACCGTGTCAAGACCATTTCCGGCGCCAGCTTCGAAGGGTTCTACTACATCTGCTTCAACCAGGTTCAGGGTACCATCAGTGGCATCTACTTCCACGCGAAGAGCGAAAAGTAGGTCTCACCGCCCCATCCATCGAGTGCCTAATAATGAGAAAATCGAAAAAAACAAACATACTAATGGCTTTTATAGACACCAACAGCTTGAGCTCAAGCCTGTGGAGAACTACGGATGCTGTGCAGCCATCGAATTCCGATGAACCAACTCCAATTCCTCAACGAACCCAATTGATCTCCCACCGTTTTGATTTAGGCCGTCTCTCTTGTTGCCCAAATGGCCGTGATGAGCCCGTCGATCACGTCCAAGCTTATATAAACCCGCATGGCCATACTCGGTCCTTCCATCAACAAACATAATATGGCAAACCGGCCTAGCAAAGGGATGATCTTCACTTTTTGTGGCGGCCTTGTCCTCGCCTCCCTCCCTCCATCTTTCCCTCTTTTTACTATCCGTGGCGCATATCGACCCAACCAGCCTTCTCACCAAATCACGACGTCAAAACTCATCCCGAACCCGTCACAAAAACCCTCGTATCCTCCTGCATGAAGTATGAAGCCCTTATGCATTCCTTATCTGTTCAACCACACCATTGGGCCTTTTTTTGGCTGCTTTCGCTTGCATCTTCCGGTTTTCCTTCGTCACTTCGGAGTTACTTTCGACTCCTGGCTCGACTTCATATTTCATTTCCATTCTTAACTAACGGCTAGCTTGGGTCTATTCTCTTCATCACTTCGCTTCGCTTCCTGCTTGGTGTTCCTCGGCGTTTTATCTTCAGCTTTTCTCTTCTATTCTACCTGTCATTTTTTTTTACTTTATATCGGCCTTATTACTCAAACTGACACCTCCCCTGTTTTGCCGTGATACTCCTTGAATCAGGCCACCGTCTATCGACCGACTACCCATCGACCCTTGAAACTCCCCCGACTATCCCAAGCTATAGGATAAATTAACCTTTTGAAGCTATCATCTACCTCCACGTCAGCCGTCAGCCATTTGATCATCTTTTCTCTCTTTCTACTAATTGATATCCCTTTTCTTCATTCTTTTTTCTTTTAACCCCTTGTTCTTTCCAGTCTCTTCTTTGCTTATCTCTTTTAATCAAAATGACCCTCTTCCCTCTCGACTCTACCAAAAAACCAATTCTCAATCAATGAATGAATCAAATGAATCCAATGAATCCAATGAATGACCCTCCAACCAAATTGCTTCTTCCTTTCAAAGACTGCTCCACTTATGAACCTCAGTCCGAACCCGGACCCGAACTGAACCGCGCGCTATCCACCAGACGCTCTTGCAGACAAGAAAAATAGCAAAAAAG